TATCTGAAATTTAAATACATTAACTAGGCTGGGGTCTATATTTTGTGACGCCTCATAATTATTATTAATAAATAATAGTTAAATTCATTATACAGACATTTAAAAATGTCTTAGAAATTATAATTTAAACAATAAAATGCAAATAATAAGCATAGAGTTCAAAAATATCCATTTGGAATATTGAATATTATATATATTAGTAAACGCATAAAATGTCTCTAAAAATCTCTAAATTTATTAAAAACCTGCTTAAAATGTTCAAAATATATCAAATCATATAAATACAAGGCGATTATATTGCAATAACAAAGATAAATAACATTTGTAATATAATAGAAAAAATGGATTAAAATTTTTAAGTTGATGAAGGTGTTCGTGTAATAATTGGAAAATTTCTAAGTTAATGAACGTGTTCTTGTAATGTTCCCTTATATTGGGGCGTTGTCGGAGACACATACCCAAGGTTGTACATATATATGGGGTGGTCGGCTGACCGACTGCTAGTACTAAGGTTGCACAATGACTAGTCCTATATTAGGGACTTAACATAGTAAGGTCTGACGAACCAAAGCATTAATATATAAGGTCTCTATGATGCATAAGCATTATGATAGCAGAGTTATGACTTGAAGTCCCATATGAATAAGACATACAGTAGTATGGTCTATGAAATAAAGCAAATATGTGGAAGGTCTCAAATATGTAAAAGCATTATATTGAAAGAAATGGGACTTGAAAAGGATTATTATAGTGGCGTGTAGGTTGCTTCGCAGCCTCTGAGACCGAGGTAAACTTGGACTCACTAACCGATGTGTCCTAGACATATCATCTTAGTGCCGGTGGTAAGCGGGCTTGTTGTAGCAATACGACTTGCCCGTGGACATCGCACACCCCTACCGGTTGTGGGCGGCGTCTTAGCGCATAGCGTTATGATACGTCGGCTATCTTTCGGATTAGGGTGAGTGTGTTTGGTAGTACTTTTAAGTGCAGCAAGCATACTCAACTTCATGTCTTAGTGCAATAGCGCTATGATACGTGGAGTTTTGGCTACTGACGTCTTAGTACCGTACTACTATGATACGTCGGTGGTATTTTTAGTTAACAACATTATCAAATTTTGTTACCAAAGTCGATAGGGATCATGTGGGTGTGTTGTGAGGGGGCGCCATCCGTATGATAGTTGCATTGATGCTTACTGCTACTTGCAGTATTGCGTCTTGTGATCGATCTGCGGGTGTACTGCACCTGATTCGATGCATCTTGTGGTTCTGGTCGATGGAGGTATGCGGGTGGTGATGTCTGCTGGGACTGTATGGGGGACCTTGGGATGGTGTAAGCCCGACGATAGTCGTATTGATGCTTGTTGCATTCTGTAGCATTGCGTCTCTACGATGGTTGTTTGGCGGGTCGCTATTCTCAATGGCGCTCTCTGCGTCTTGGTTTGACTCACAACCTAAGTAGCTTTGCCCAAGTCGGGTCCCTTCATAGCGGGGCTGCAGACTGTCTGCCCTCCATGATGTTTTATATAACAACTTAATAATATATCTCTATAAAGTTCCCACCTTTGAGAGATTGAAGGCAACTTGTTGGTGGGTGAGACAAACATGATCGAAAAATGCATATACTCAACGTCAGTGACACAAACCCGTTCTGATGGCGAATTATTAATATTATCTTATAACTGCCTATTGGCTATATCTGCCATTGTATTGGTTGGTGGAGCATATGTGTTGACCTCATGCGGGTGGTAGCTGGAGGGAGAATCTGAGGAGGCTCTCAAGGCTGCGGCCGAAAGCCGCGCAACGTGGGACCCCATTCCCTTGAGGTGAGCGGTAGACTCATGACACGCTCTGCGGCCAATTGGCCGTGCTGACCATGCAATTGGTGGTGATGCCTTACACTTACATCACGTCTGCAGAAACGGCGGTCTGGCAGGTGGTGGCGCTCACGGAGGGCTTTTTATGGTCAGTGTGTCGATTGTTGCCTAACCCGTGTGACGTACATTTCACTGTGGCTGGATTTGATCGTATTCTGTATGGCGTTTACACGCATTGACATGCGCGACTTCGGTCGATGTTTGTGCTTACGCACTATCAAGGGGCCAAGTCCTCTTTTACTGGTTCGCCAGTTATTTTGCTGTGGACTACGGTCCAGTTCCCAACTATGCGTACCCTGCGGGGGGAGCGCATTAAAATGGTTGGCGCTCACCGTGCGCGGCGTGTGTGGGGCCGTGTACCTCCTCCACATTTTTTTTAAAATGTGGGAGAGCGAAGCCCTTGTAGCTGGTATTTGATATAAATATTGTGAGCCTTTTCCAAGCGGGAAGGGATTAATTAATAAGGAATTGACTGTTGTGAACCAGATACAAGTGGAATAGGGACAAATTATTGTTCTTAACCTTTTTGAGCTCTGTCTTCGTGAACGGGGTTCTTTAGCTTATAAGACTCTACCAACAGCTTTCGATTGCTCTCGTGAATATTCATTCTTCCAAGATACACCTAAAAGAACTAAGTTACTATACAAACACAACGTAAAAAAGGGTCCTAACTAAGACGATCACGCCATAAATTTAAACGGCCTATATTTAAACCTTTAGAAAGATCAAGTTATACTGGTCACGTAAATTTGATATATTTATATATCTTACAGATATAGATTCTAAAGAAATACAAATATAAGTGGATATATAGTAGAAAAGAGAAAAAAGATGGGGGGGGGGGTTCGTTACAATTTGGTGCCGTGACCAGGATGGAGGTTAAATTTTAAATAGGAGGCCGGTAATATAAAATTATGAGGTAGGCTATATGCCTACAATTTGTTGTCCGTGAAATGGAGAGGTGTCTTGGAGAGTGGTGTTTGCTGGGGGTGGTTGAGAGTCTGGGGGTGGGGCTTAAATATTAAAATGGAGTAATAATATAGGAGGTGTGTGCATAACGGAGCGAAATAATAAAAAGTGAAATAAGTGGAAAGACTCAATTAGACTAAGAGATGGACACAACAGGTGTAAAAAAAAAAAAAAAAAAACACTGCAATACTATATATTATAAAGTGAAATAAGTGGAAAGACTCAATTAAACTAAGTGAAGGACACAACAGGTGTAAAAAAAAAAGAAAAAGTGGTAATAAAAATTAAAAATGGCTAAAAATAAGAAAATATCAACCTCAATTAAGGCTAAGTCTAAAGATGAGATGAAAATGCTTCAGAAATTAATTAAGATTGCAGTGAAAACCTTTGAGGTTAAAATAAAGGATCTTGAGGAAAAATTTATTAACCAAACGAAAGATTACCAAATTAAAATAAATCAAGGAGAGGTGTCCAGTTCGAGCACCTCTCATGTAAATGATCCTAGACAAAATATTGTATATAATGTACATAATGTAACAATAGAAAAGCCAAAATTTGGAAATGGAAATACTCATCCAGTATCATTTTTGGAAGATCTCACCAATTATTTAAAGAAAGTTCCATCTAATGGTCTCGAAATTTCGATTGCACAAGAGTGCTTAGTAGGTGAAGCCAAGTATTGGGCTCGCATTAATAATGTGCGTTGGACAACTTTTGATGATTTTAAAGCTGACTTCCTAAGAGTGTTTTGGGGTGAAGAAGAACAAAATAAAGTAAAAAGATTCCTTGTGCAAAATAAATGGAATAGAAGTACACACCCCACCATGGTTAGTTATTTTCTTTATGTGGTTGAGAAGGCACAATAATTATCATATCCGATACCTGAAAAACAATTAGTAACTGATGTCATCAGACATTATCCTAAAACTGTGCAGCAATTATGGAGAATAGCTAAAATTGAGACAATAATAGACACGACAGATTTCTTAAGAAACTTAGATGACATCGACAAACAAGATGAAGGTCGTGAACCTTACTATAATGAGAAAAGGAGGAAGTTTAATAATAATACGGAGCAAAAACATAAAGAAATACAACGATCATACAAAACATGGCGTAAACCCGAAGAGGGAAAAAAGAAGGTTAATGAAGTACATGAAATACATTTCACTAATGACCAACCTGATGTTACGGCCCCTGAGCCAAATTTAGAGCTGTAGAGGTCGAACTAGTTCCCGATTCGACCCCTTACAATGTAAAAGGGAACAAAGCATTAAACATGTTATTAAAACTGGGTTGGCGACCTGGTCAAACATTGGGTAAAAACAATAGAGGGTTGCGAAAACCTATTACTTTAAAAGCAAATTTTAACAGAGAAGGCCTTGGTTATAACAACAATGTAAATAGCATATTAAACACCTTAAAAGCCAGGTCGGACTTGCCCATAACGGAGTTATTCGTGCAAACCGTCTTCGAGGAAGACGAAGATAAATATCAAAGGGAATTTATAGGGAATATGAGATCTGAAATTAAAGTTTCAATATTTGACAAAGAAATAGACGCGCTCCTCGACACTGGGAGCGATGTTACATGCATTTCAGAAAGTTTATATTTACAAATTAAAGATAATAATCGTAAAATATCAATAATGCCAGTTAAAGCAATGCAAATAAAAGGTGCTGTTGGGCAGCGCAGCACAAAAATACAACAGATGATCATATTGCCTATAAAGATAGATGAAGTAGTCTTTGAAACACAAACTTTAATTGTAGGTAATTTAATAAGACCTTTAATATTAGGCTTTGACTGGCTCAAGAGAAATAAAATATTGATTGATTTGAGAAATACTACTGTTGGAATAGAATTTAAAGTGAAAAACAAAGACTACTTTATACCTTTCAAATATAATAATAAATCTGTATTACATAATAACTGCATCAAACAATGTACCGATGATCCCTTAATAAATATAAAAATAGGATCTACATTGGAGGTTTCTGAAAGGGCAAAACTTAGTAAGGTTTTCGAAAAGCATAAGAATATGTTTTCGAGCAAATTGGGAAGAGCCAATTGCTATGAGCATAAAATTGAAATGATCGATGATGAACCTATAGTTACTAGGTCCTATCCCATTCCATATGCATATAGAGCGAAAATGGAAGAAAAGTTAAATGAAATGGAACAAGCTGGTATCATCACAAGGACATCAACGCCTTACAGTAGTCCATTGACATTCACTCTTAAAAAAGACGGCTCAATTAGAGTTCTGCTTGATGCCCGAAGCATAAATAAGAAAATGGTTGCAGAAACAGAGAAACCACCTATACAATTAGATGTTTTGAATTCATTTCACGGAGCGAATTATATCACTACCATTGACTTAAATAATGCATATTTTCAAATTCCGATAAATAAAGATGGTAGAAAATATACTGGATTCACATTCAATGGAAAGTCATATGTATATAATGTTTTGCCGCAAGGATTAAAAACATCAGTAGGAAGCTTTAGCAGAGCCATGAATTTAATATTAGGACCAGAAGTCCAAGAATTTTGTGTGAACTATTTAGATGATCTAGCCATTATTACAACAGGAACGTTAGATAAACATTTGGAGCACATTGATATTGTTTTAAGTAAATTGAACAAAGCTGGCTTAACGTGTAACTTGCAGAAATGTGAATTTATTTGTAAAGAAATTAAAATGCTGGGTTTTATAATTTCAACAGAAGGAATACAGACAGAGATAAAGACAGATCCCGATAAGATTCGAGCGATCCAAGAGTTTCCAGCACCTAAAAAGATTAAACAATTAAGGGCCTTTTTAGGTCTATGCAATTTTTATAGAAGGTTTATACCAAATTACAGCGAGAGCATAATACCGCTCTGTGAATTACTTAAAAAGGGACGAAAGTTCCAATGGAGCGGTAAAGAACAGAAGGCATTTGATTTTATAAAACAACAATTTATTAATACAATACAATTGCATCATCCAGACTTTAATAAGCCGTATTATTTACAAACAGATTGTTCCGGTGTGGGTATGGCCGGAGTACTATATCAGATAGATGATAATAATGAAATGAGAATTTTAGGCTATCATAGTAAAGCCTTAAAAGGCCCCGAATTAAATTGGTCTGTTACTGAACAAGAGTTTTATGCTGTAATAAGCTGCCTAAAGAAATTTGAAACATATTTGAGGGGCAGTAAAGTAATAATACTAACTGATCATAAAGCATTATTGTTTATTAATAATATGAAGTTATTCAATGGTAGAGTAACCCGATGGATTTTGTATATAGAACAATTTAATTATGAAGTACAGCATATATCGGGTAGACGTAATATTGTTGCAGATGTGCTATCACGTTATCCTCCTGATGGCGATTTAATACAAGAGGATAAAAATAATAGTTTAGAAATTGCTTACACAGAGAGCGAACCGAATATTGAGTTGATAGAAAAATTAAAATCCTTAACAGTATATCAATTACAAGATTCAGAGTCGTTGGCTATTATTGAAAAATTAAAGACATTAAATACTTCCATAATAAAACAAAACAATAAATTTAAAAGATATAGTTTGAAAAATGATGTATTATATTACAAAACGAATTTACAAGAAGTAATATATTTACCTAAAGCATTGAGACAAGATATTATAAATCAAGTGCATGTCGAAATGGGTCATCAAGGACCCTATAAGGTAATTAAATATGTGAGAGACAGATTCTTTTGGAAAGGTTTAACAAAAGATATTAAAAACCAATTAAGGGCTTGTCATTTATGTCAGTTATCTAAGAAAAGCAATATAACATATGTGGGTCCCTGCAAATCTATAATAACAGAAAACATTGGCGATATAGTCATGGCAGACTTATATGGACCGCTTGTATCAGGTACCTTTGGTTACACTTTCATATTTGTCATTCAAGATTCATTCAGTAAATTTATCAAATTATATCCTTTAAAACAGTCAACAGCAAAGTCTGTTGTAACAAAAGTAAAGCATTTTGTTGAGATTATAAAGCCCAAGGCAATAATGACAGATAATGGAAAACAGTTCGTAAGTAATCACTGGAAACAATCAATGAGAGATTTAAATATAAAGCCAATATATACCACAGTTAGAAATCCTAGACCAAATACAACAGAGCGAGTAAATAAAGAGTTGAGCAGATTATTTAGGACGCTTTGTCATACTAACCACAAAGATTGGGCATTAATATTGCCGAAGTTAGAAGAATTGTATAATAATTCTTATCACAATAGTACAGGCTTCACGCCTTGTGAAATTCTTTATGGTGAGTCTAATGAGATGTCTTTTGACAAAGTAATTTCCAAAAGCAAAGAAAAACATAATGTCGAACAAATTAGACAACAAGTGCGTAAAAATTTAAAAGAGGCAAGTCGAATAAGAAACATAAAATTTGATAAGCGAAATAGATTAATAAAATATAATATTGGTGACTTAGTAAAAATTTCAAGATCTAGTAGATCAGACGCTGATAATAAAGTTATGAGTAAGTTCAATTTGGCATATGAAGGGCCTTATGTAATAGCAGCCGTACCATTTGACAATGTATATACCTTAGCAAATCCAGAGACAAACGAAATTAGAGGAATTTTTAATGCTATTCACTTATTAAAATATTTTAAATAATAATTTCTTTTTGTATAAATTAAAATAATTAAATAAATATTGTAACATAAAAGGGTTTTGTGGGTGGCCCATGGAAATAATTGTTTAAGTTAAAGGTCTAAAATTATTAAAGTTATGAGCAAGAGATTTGTTATATGATAGAAGAACGTTATTAATATATAATGAATAGTTGTAAATATAGATCGTAAGATAATTTTGTAATCATTTTTATTAAATAAATATGGGATTTGGGTCAGGGTGAATGGCTTAATCACATTTATCCTATGTGGTATCGAACTGACATCAACAAATATCCAACTGGATTGTATGCACATAAAGTGTGACACTATCGAAATAATGTTTCAAAGATTTAAAGATAAATTAATAAAATAAGAAATCGACAATTGACTGCAAACTTTATTAACAACACGATATACAATAACTTGAATTATGGTGTTATCACAATGTGATAATTGTGGTTGAAGGGGTGTTGGTGGCGGCCATTCTCTGGGGCAGGGGGATTTGATAACATATGCCGTATTGTAACAGATTAAAAGAGGAAAGAACAGATATATAAACAATTATTTGAGTGTAGTGTATATGCTCTCAAAATACTAAAATTTTATATTAACGACTCCACTATGTGGATCATTAACATAAAATTTGGGGGTGGATTGTGACGCCTCATAATTATTATTAATAAATAATAGTTAAATTCATTATACAGACATTTAAAAATGTCTTAGAAATTATAATTTAAACAATAAAATGCAAATAATAAGCATAGAGTTCAAAAATATCCATTTGGAATATTGAATATTATATATATTAGTAAACGCATAAAATGTCTCTAAAAATCTCTAAATTTATTAAAAACCTGCTTAAAATGTTCAAAATATATCAAATCATATAAATACAAGGCGATTATATTGCAATAACAAAGATAAATAACATTTGTAATATAATAGAAAAAATGGATTAAAATTTTTAAGTTGATGAAGGTGTTCGTGTAATAATTGGAAAATTTCTAAGTTAATGAACGTGTTCTTGTAATGTTCCCTTATATTGGGGCGTTGTCGGAGACACATACCCAAGGTTGTACATATATATGGGGTGGTCGGCTGACCGACTGCTAGTACTAAGGTTGCACAATGACTAGTCCTATATTAGGGACTTAACATAGTAAGGTCTGACGAACCAAAGCATTAATATATAAGGTCTCTATGATGCATAAGCATTATGATAGCAGAGTTATGACTTGAAGTCCCATATGAATAAGACATACAGTAGTATGGTCTATGAAATAAAGCAAATATGTGGAAGGTCTCAAATATGTAAAAGCATTATATTGAAAGAAATGGGACTTGAAAAGGATTATTATAGTGGCGTGTAGGTTGCTTCGCAGCCTCTGAGACCGAGGTAAACTTGGACTCACTAACCGATGTGTCCTAGACATATCATCTTAGTGCCGGTGGTAAGCGGGCTTGTTGTAGCAATACGACTTGCCCGTGGACATCGCACACCCCTACCGGTTGTGGGCGGCGTCTTAGCGCATAGCGTTATGATACGTCGGCTATCTTTCGGATTAGGGTGAGTGTGTTTGGTAGTACTTTTAAGTGCAGCAAGCATACTCAACTTCATGTCTTAGTGCAATAGCGCTATGATACGTGGAGTTTTGGCTACTGACGTCTTAGTACCGTACTACTATGATACGTCGGTGGTATTTTTAGTTAACAACATTATCAAATTTTGTTACCAAAGTCGATAGGGATCATGTGGGTGTGTTGTGAGGGGGCGCCATCCGTATGATAGTTGCATTGATGCTTACTGCTACTTGCAGTATTGCGTCTTGTGATCGATCTGCGGGTGTACTGCACCTGATTCGATGCATCTTGTGGTTCTGGTCGATGGAGGTATGCGGGTGGTGATGTCTGCTGGGACTGTATGGGGGACCTTGGGATGGTGTAAGCCCGACGATAGTCGTATTGATGCTTGTTGCATTCTGTAGCATTGCGTCTCTACGATGGTTGTTTGGCGGGTCGCTATTCTCAATGGCGCTCTCTGCGTCTTGGTTTGACTCACAACCTAAGTAGCTTTGCCCAAGTCGGGTCCCTTCATAGCGGGGCTGCAGACTGTCTGCCCTCCATGATGTTTTATATAACAACTTAATAATATATCTCTATAAAGTTCCCACCTTTGAGAGATTGAAGGCAACTTGTTGGTGGGTGAGACAAACATGATCGAAAAATGCATATACTCAACGTCAGTGACACAAACCCGTTCTGATGGCGAATTATTAATATTATCTTATAACTGCCTATTGGCTATATCTGCCATTGTATTGGTTGGTGGAGCATATGTGTTGACCTCATGCGGGTGGTAGCTGGAGGGAGAATCTGAGGAGGCTCTCAAGGCTGCGGCCGAAAGCCGCGCAACGTGGGACCCCATTCCCTTGAGGTGAGCGGTAGACTCATGACACGCTCTGCGGCCAATTGGCCGTGCTGACCATGCAATTGGTGGTGATGCCTTACACTTACATCACGTCTGCAGAAACGGCGGTCTGGCAGGTGGTGGCGCTCACGGAGGGCTTTTTATGGTCAGTGTGTCGATTGTTGCCTAACCCGTGTGACGTACATTTCACTGTGGCTGGATTTGATCGTATTCTGTATGGCGTTTACACGCATTGACATGCGCGACTTCGGTCGATGTTTGTGCTTACGCACTATCAAGGGGCCAAGTCCTCTTTTACTGGTTCGCCAGTTATTTTGCTGTGGACTACGGTCCAGTTCCCAACTATGCGTACCCTGCGGGGGGAGCGCATTAAAATGGTTGGCGCTCACCGTGCGCGGCGTGTGTGGGGCCGTGTACCTCCTCCACATTTTTTTTAAAATGTGGGAGAGCGAAGCCCTTGTAGCTGGTATTTGATATAAATATTGTGAGCCTTTTCCAAGCGGGAAGGGATTAATTAATAAGGAATTGACTGTTGTGAACCAGATACAAGTGGAATAGGGACAAATTATTGTTCTTAACCTTTTTGAGCTCTGTCTTCGTGAACGGGGTTCTTTAGCTTATAAGACTCTACCAACAGCTTTCGATTGCTCTCGTGAATATTCATTCTTCCAAGATACACCTAAAAGAACTAAGTTACTATACAAACACAACGTAAAAAAGGGTCCTAACTAAGACGATCACGCCATAAATTTAAACGGCCTATATTTAAACCTTTAGAAAGATCAAGTTATACTGGTCACGTAAATTTGATATATTTATATATCTTACAGATATAGATTCTAAAGAAATACAAATATAAGTGGATATATAGTAGAAAAGAGAAAAAAGATGGGGGGGGGGGGGTTCGTTACAATTTGTACCTGTGTTAGTAGGCCCTGCTCTTCCATGACAAGTTTTAGATACTTATAAGATAAGATTAAACGTGTGTGCGTGCGAGCGTGCGAGTGTACATGTGTTAGATGCGTGTATAAAGACATATACATATACATTGATACATATTTTTTTATATAAGTGGGGGCAAACAAGCAAGGCTCTCCTGATCATACGAAACTACTGCCATCCATAAACAACTGCAGCACAAGGGGAATTGCAGACGCTATGCCAGCTTTTAAAAAAAGAATAGGCTCTTTTCTTGAAGGTCCTTAAGTCGTACCGGTCCGGAAAAATCGTGGTGGTTATTAATTCCACCAGGAAGTTGTGCGAGAAAGAAAACTAGTAAATCACACAGGGGTGGGCCGCCAATCATCCAGACGATATGGATGGTATCGCAAATTGTGTCAAGATGTGCGATGGTGAACTTTAGCTTAATTTAAAAAAAAAGTTGTGAAATATAGGTATGTATTTATGCTACGGTGTACTTTGTATTAGATCTAGTTATATGAATGAATTATAATGGACTGCTTACGCAAGTTGACCGTCCGATAAGTAGAGCACTTTAAAATAACCGTCGATATCAATTTCCATCATACGGAATATCTCACACCACAATGGAATTCTATCGCATCAGATTATCTCAGTATTTATGAGAACATCAATTCACAATCTATAATAACTTTATTACGTGCCAAGACAAAGTTAACGTCGAATTTAGCTGTAAGCCCATAATTCTCGCGGAAAAGTATTTTTAACGTGGGAGGCTTCATCTTTTTCTTTATCAATTCAAATAATCTGGGCTGTATACGGGCCTTTCAATTTTCCGCTTAACTTAAGTTCAAGTCATAAGAGAGAGATAGAGAGGACATAAGACATAAGCTTCACTCCAAATATAAGTAAAGTTACGACTCAATGCTTGATGGATATTACTTCGATTTTTTAAAATTTCTCTAACATGCAAGTTTCCATTTAATGGTTTACTTTACCACATTTATCGTAGTAAATCAGCACTTAAAATTACAATTAACAATTTCATTGGTACCGACAGGAAACGAACCTGGGTTGCTCGCGTACTGTGAAATTCACATATTGTGTACCTACTATTAAACCACTACTAGAACTAAGTAAACCAGTTTTTTTAATTTTTTTAAATAATAAGGGTGTTTATGCCCAAATTTGGTTCGTTCAAGCTGGCGCGTCACCCGATAGTATGTAGGTGAAATAAGCGCCGAGGTGGGGCGGCCGTGTGCGGCTTGCAGTAGCTCGACGCGTGGGCGCGTTTTCTGAGTTGCCCACTAGCCGCGATGGGGGGAACCCGCGTAGCTCGTGATTGCGGCGGAAGTTCACGCGACCGTTGTCGGGTCCAGATGGTTAGATTAAGGGCGTGTTACTTCCTTACATGGATATGTGAATTTTGCAATATTTAACTTGTTCGGGGATGCGGAATTGTGCACGCGCGTGTCGAGTAGATATACGGTCTAGGATTCGAACTGCGCATTCCTTGTTCGAGAGCTTCTCCCGGTTGATCATCAGGAAATCATTATAATCGTGCCGTCGCGTTAAGTGCCCTTTTTGTGTGTGTTGGCTTGATATTTTACGCGTTAACGAGGCGTATTTTGAATCTTTTCGCGACGTGG